TATCGTCATGCCGCCGCACTTCTTTCAACAAGGTTTAGTGTCAACTCGAAGGCTTACATCGAGGCCCTGGGCACTGTAAAAAAACCTTGGATTGAAGAGGTGGCCCAGGGAAGGCCATACAATTTTCAACGTGACTCTGCTCCAAGCCACAAGGCCCACGCGAACCAAGATTGCTGGATGATAATCTTCACGATCACGTCACCCGGCACATGTGGCCTCCTGTATATCTCCAGAAGTAAACTTTTTTGACAGCTATGTCCGGGGCGTCGTCGAGAGTGAGGGACCAGCAACCAGCCTTACAACACCACAGAGTTGTTAACGGCTGCCATTGTTGACACTATCGCGAACATCAACGATGACCACTTGATCGGGGCATGCAGTCATTATCGAACCCACATTGAACCGGTCATTGCCGCTGAAGGCTGTTTTATCGAAAGACCTTCGAGAACACAAAAAGAAAACATTATCTGTACCAAATTTTTGGTAAATATATGAATATTTATTTGAAACGACTTTTTATCAGCTCAATCCGCCGCTATCTTCTCAAATACCTCGCTCACCCTATTGTTTTAGACCCGTAGATCTAGCAGTTGTTCCGGGGGAGGTGCCCAATATGTCAACTTTGCGTAATCTGCAGAAGGCGCTTCGGACTGAAAGTGTGATACAAACTTTTTCCAAAAACACAGTTTTTGTTTTTTTACTAAAGTCGGGTTTGTTTTTATATGCATTGAGCCAAGAAAATATTTGTTTTTCTTCAAAATTAGAAGTCTGTGGACATGGTCGTCCGAACATAACTCAGAACACGTTGCGGGGACACGTCCCACGAATGTTCAAAGCATGTACAGGGTGTCACAAAAAAAAAATTACAGGGTTTTTTTTCACCCCCAAAATAAATTAGGCATCGCCGAACGCTCATTCTCCGCCCAAAGGTAGCGCTAGAGGTCACAACCAGATGCCAAAGTTTCAGCCCGATCCGATAACTTAATCAAAAGTTATGATTTTCTGAAATTTTCAACGGGTAAATGGAGCCCATTTTCGCCCGTTTTCGATTTCTGGTGCCATAGAGCCCCATGTATTCGAAAGCTCCGTCGGCCGCCATTTTCCCAGTGAAATTTTCAGAAAATCACTTATAACTTTCGATTAAGGTATCGGATCGGGCTGAATTTTTGGCATCTGGTTGTGAACCTCTAGCGCTACCTTTGGGCGGAGAATGAGCGTTCGGCGATGCCTAGTTTATTTTTGCGGTAAACAAAAACTCTGTAATTTTTTTTTTGTGACAACCTGCACATACCTACGCTTCGAACATGTCTGCAGGCAGTTTTTGTATTACCAATATGGGACCGTCATACGAGAAGGACACGATCCTCAGACTGCGTCTGCAGGCTGTCTTTTGCATGATGCTTAAAGCATAGTTCACATGCAGCGGTTTTGGCCCTAGAGCGGCGCGATTTCTGCCGTCGCGGCGCTATGGCCAGCACCAGCAATTCTGCGGCACGAGCGCCGCGACGGCAGAAATCGCGCCGCTCTAGGGCCAAAACCGCTGCATGTGAAACACGCTTTAGGCAGTGTGGCCGCGGCTGTTTCGTCGCTGATAGGCTCGACAAAGGCAGGGCCCCAGGCTTCTCGCTTCGCGATTGCCTCTTTGCCGCTTCTATCGGCTGATGACGTATTCCCATTGGCTGAAGAGTGATAGTAAGGTGCTTGAGACTCGCCAGGCCGCGCATTTTCTGTGCTGTCTGTGACTGAAGGCGATTCCAAGAATTCCCCAAACTCTGGTTATCATAAATCTTCTGTTGACCGCACTGTCCATCACTTTTTTTCGTACGCGGTCGCCGTCGCTCCAGTCACTCCTTGCGCCGGTGTGAACGTGTTGAAGTCAGTTCTATGTCAACCGAGGTGCGAGAAAGAATGGCTGCCCTACTTCTGAAATGCACAGGTGCAGAGCAGTGGCGTAGCAGCAACGTGGGGGGATGGGGGGGGGGGGGGATTGTGAAGCATCAAACCCCATCCCCCTCCAAAAAAGAAAAGATCCACCCGACTCTGTAATATACACATGCATTTCGACCCCCCCCCCCCCCCCCCACCCCCCACTCCGCACCCCAAGTCATGGACATCCCAGACACCTCAGCGCCCCCTCAAGACCCCACCCCGCCTCCCCCTCCCCCGAAAAATATTCCGGGCAAGGCCCAGTTGGTGGGGCGCCATTGTTTTTGTGGACAGAGGGAATGCCTTCTGCCGATCTTTATTAAAGAATTTGTGCACAGTATAGAAGGAAGCTTTTTTTCCGCATGGAAGTGTGTTTCAATAACTACAAAAGTTCAAGGAAGGACGCACAAGTCTCAGCCAAAAAGTGAGATGGACGAATGCATTACGATGTGACTAATCATTTGCGGAGCAGCCGAAGTTTTGCTTACGCAAAAATTCATGACAGGTAAATATGCTTGGAACAATAGTTCACGCGTATCCGGAGATGTCATTGCGTC